TGAACTTTAAGTGATAGTGAAGAAGATATCTCGGAAAATGGGAAAAACTCAATCCAAAAAAACAGAAATATCCGGAGACCCCCAGGTTGCGGTGTTAAGTCAACTGTAGATACACGAAGAACTCCACACGCAACACGACTTTAAGCTGAACCTTATCTTAGCGCTAGTGACCATTCAACTGTTAATTACGCTGTTCAGGCTCTATAAAGGGCACACAAGAAAACAAGCACTGAAAGCAGCGAAATCAGTGGCGGACGCCTAACAAACATTTTCAAAAGTGATCGCAAAAATGTGAAAAACAGTCTACCGAAACAACAAGCAGTGTCAAACGAACCACAACTCAGGTAACTTATCAAATTTCTGAGGTTAACGATTCCAGTGCGTCGAAAGCAAACAACGCTGGTACTGTTACATCGATGTCGTAATAGTCGATTTAAAGGAAGTGAATTAAGTGCAGCTGTGCAGATGGAATAGTGGAATGAAAATTAGTGCAACACGATAAAAAAAAGATTTATAATTCAACTGCAGGAGAGACCCTTGTCGGAGTACCAGCAAGCGGGATTTTTAGACGACCTGGCCAAGGATCGAGAGGTATCAAAGTAGCATCGCACTCAAAGCAGTCAAATTCATGATGATGAATGGAAGTAAGTGGAAATTAATGCAAGAATAGTGTATAGTTTTTAGTTCAGTTATATTTTTTTAAATGTCAGAAGCGATTGAGCAAGACGTACAAACGCTATTAAAACTGTATAATAATCTTAAGAAATCCATTAACAACAAAATTACCAACGAAACTCCATTAACAACAAAATTACTAACGAAAACCAAGTTAGACAGAAACGAAATACAGGAATCATGGCTCACCCCGCCGAACCCCTCGCAGCACCAACACGGTTCGACAGCGTTGATACAAAATTATGACGGTTCACCTACTGGACTTGATACATTTCTAGATCCGGTCGGATTGTTTGCAGATGTGAATCCCCAAGAGCACATTGCCACAGGAATTAGATTTCTGAAAACCAAATTGAGTGGAAAAGCGCGATCAGCTATACCACCTAACGCTCAAACTTTTTCAGAAATTACAGATCATATAATTTGTTTCTCTCCGTAGTTGATAAACTATCAAGGTTTGGAACTCTTCTTCCCATAAAATCCCGGTGTATTTCTGACATCCGCAAAGCCTTGCTAAAATACTTTTCGATATACGGAACACCCAAGTTGATAGTGTCGGACAACGAACCAGCACTAACATCAATCGAGGTGAGAGGGCTTCTTTATGACCTTCGCATCCAACAATACTTCACACCCTCAAACTACAGTCACGTTAATGGCATTGTGGAACGAATTCACTCCACAATTGCCTAAATTTTTAGAACTAACAAACAAAAATTCGAAAACCTAACCAACAAGGAAACATTTCTTATTGCCTGCACGCTCTATAATAACTCTATTCATTCATCTACAAAGCTGAAGCCACGCGAAGTATTTTACGGCCTGAAAAACGAGATGGAACGACCCTTGGATATGAACGCAATGATTGAAGCCAGGAACAAACTTTACGACGAAACCGTACTACACGAATACTACAACATTGGCAAGGAAAACCCTCCAACATTAGAGATAAGAACGGAAGTACTTAATCGTGTACACGGAATTAAATCCAAAACAAAAGAGCAATTCATCCCTGTCAAAGTTATGGCTGACAGACAACAAACCTATACAGACGAAAAGGAGCACAAACTTCACAAAGCAAGATTACGCCAAATGAGAAGATAAATAGACATTTTATTCTAATTAAATAAGCACATTTTTCCTACTTTCAGATGGAGCTGCGCACCACTCTATATATCATCATCCTGTCGCTTCTCCTGGAGAGCCCCGCATCGGCAAAATATATACAAATTACTAATCTAGCCCCTAATCCCGGACTCCTTACCCTTCAAGGCGGCTACAGTTTAAAAAAAAGTGAGCATAGACTTTTCGACGTCATTAACTTAGAGATCTATGAGCCTATTTCCAGGAAGCTCAAAACGATTATTAATGGAATCAACTCTCTCGGAAACTATACCGACATTACTGAGCTTTTAGAGATACAAAGTTAAGCAATACTCTATTACTCTTCACTGAACTTCAACCTAGACATAGAGTGAAAAGAGGATTGTTCAACTTTTTAGGATCCGGTATTAAAGCCATAACCGGTAACCTCGACGAGAACGACTTAATAGACATTTCAAAAAATTTACAAGACTTGACCGTGAACACGAACATTTTGATCCACGAAAACAATGAACAACGTCAGATTAACTTTAAGTTTCAAGATAGAATAAACCGGATTATAAAACAATTAGAAAAACAGCAGCAGCAAATCTGTAAAAACCTCATTTCAGCCAGAAACGATATAGCAGGAAAACATTTTATTGTATTGAGAGAGAGACCCTTAAAATTCATTTTAATCTAGATCTTTTGAAATCCCACCTAGAAGATATATTTGAAGCCATTAAATTAGCAAAACTGAAAGTCATTTCCAAACATATTTTGTCCTCTCAGGAACTAGATTTTGCTGTTAAAAGATAAGAATAGAAAGAAGTTATGCTAAACACACTAGAAGAAACCTATGACTACTTGGAACTTGCAGCTTACCACAACCATTCAACAATTATTTTCTTAATTTCTATTCCGTTAATGGAAAACTCAATTTCCGAAAACTTTTATTTAAAAGCTTTGCCAGTAGGGAACAAGATTTTAAGGATTCGTTCGCCTCATGCCATGCGGAGTAGCAAAGCAACATTCATCGTCATCAAGGAATGCAAACGCATCCAGAGGAGGAGATTGTGTAATCCGGAAAAATTTGTTCAATATTACTAGCCATTCATGCATTTCGAAGCTGCTCGACGGGCAATCAGCTAATTGCTCCTTCACCGACTATACCAATCATTCAGAAGTAAAACTCGTCAAGGGAAGTCTCGTTGTGCTTAAACAACTCGAGTCGCTGACGGTCAACTCAACCTGTGGAATCACAAACAGAAAGAGTTAAGTGAGTGGAACATACCTTATAGAATTCCATAACTGTTCGGTTCAGTTAACCGAGTCGAAGTTCGAAAATAACGAACTAATCGTGACGGAACAACCAGTAGTATCACCTGTAGATGGTCTTTCGATAACAGAAAGTCATTTTGAGCCAATTCTGCGCCTAGAGGAAATCGATATCAAGAATCGAGACCTACTGGAAAACTTCACGTTCAGTCACAATATTAAGACGTACTCGTCAATTACGATCTCAACCCTGAGCCTCGTAACCATGATAGTTATTGCTCTATTCACAGCTAGGAAAACAATATTCCAGAAGCTCAACTGCCGTTAGACGCTGCAGAAGACATCGAGATACACCGCATTGAAAAACCCAGCAGATCAGCAGCAATAACGAATCGGGACGATTCTTTCTCAAAGGGGGGAGTAGTCAAACACCTCTCTTCACCAGCGACAAAAGACTTAGACCATCACCTACACCATATCCAACAACAACAACAACAACAGCTAGCAAATGCACTGACCACGCTAGAAAGAACAATCACGAACCACACCAACAAATGCAACCCTCATCATTCCTTTCTTGACCAAGCAAACGACATCTACCAAATCTGCTGACGGAGTAGCACACGCGGCAACAACGAACATCGACGACGACAGACATGGCACCACCAAGTAACTGATCCTTCAGATAGAAGTGCTAGGTAATCAATTATGATTGTAGGAATAGCTTGTATGTTTTGAATCGAAATAAAATTGATTCATTATTGTTCTGACCATCTTAGGGAGTAGTTCTTTTTTTAAAAAGTCTTCGAAGTACTTGTGGTACTTAAGTCATCTATCCTCGTTTCTTTGTTGTCATTCTTCCAGATAGTGGACCCAGCTTCCTATTAGAGAAAGGTGTTGGTAGTGAAGATGTAAACTTACTTAATTACATCAATTCAAAATTCATCTATGCTATGAGACACACCAGACAAGAGGTCAACAGGTTGTTTCGGGTATTTGAGCAAGAAAGATGCAAGATGCAAAACAGGAAAACTGAGTGTCTCCTAAAAAATGTGCTTACCAGTAATTTTGACTACCAGAATTTACAGCAGTAGTGAGAGGAGAAGTTGTCCATGTTGCTAGATGTCGTGAGGTGGCAGTTGTACCATCGAAACCCCAGCTCCTCTCCTTTAATGATTTTCTCCCGCACGCTAAACGCAGGCACCTCAGACCCCATGCTTTGTAATTATCCTGCGTGGTATTTTCCCGTCTGAGGAGCCTGGGAAGAAACAATTAATTGTACACCAACATTTAATTGACAATTTACGTGCATTTCAAGCATTTGTAATAGAAATTACAGCAAAGTTGGTACCTACTATACTGTCCATAAAAGCATAACTGTCCCATATGAATAGGAAATCAAGCAAAGATGGGACAATTATGCGAGTATCGGCAGTATAATGTGGTTCTGATAATGACAATGGAATTTTAAATGGTAGGACTTGACATGAGACATATTGCAAAAGTTAACGTACAGTGTATCTTAAAAATGATCGTACAGCAGTACTTAAATTTTAGAAAAAACGGCTCTAAAAGCACAAGATATGTCTCTGATTTTTTGGCAGCTGACTCAGCATACATTTATCAATTATTGGCTTAGTATTGGGTATATTTGGTTGAGTTTACAAAAAGTTAGAGCAATTTAAGGAAAACACCTTTTCTTGAAAAACCTTATTTTCTTGAAATAAAATGAACATAACTTCTTGAAATTTTGCTGATTTTTAGTCAGAAAAATATCATTCATCTGCCAATGATTCTACTAAAATTCGTCCACTAGGTGAAATTCGAGCGTTTTACTAAAATAAATCTAATCTCATACAGGCTCCTCCAATAAAGACCAAAATTATAGCAATAAATCAATAAACATCTGTTCAATCACCAGCCACGATTTGAAAAAATACGTCTATTAACCATGTTTAAAAAAGATCTTCTATGGTGTATGATCAATTTTGAGATACACTGTAAGTCCTAGAAGCCAATTCGAAGAAACTGAAACACACGAAGATGAAAATCAGTAGGGTAGGGTAAATCAGTTAAGAAAATTAAGAAAATCTTAGATGCACTGATTGCTGACATATACAGTAAACTAGGAAACAGTCGAAAGAAAGGGTTGGATGTGTTGGAGGAAAATGAGGTCGAAATGGACGCGACTACCCCATAGCAACTGAACAACTGAAAACGACGTCCGGAAACAATAGCAAAATACCAGGTTCAAAGAGGAAGACGGACAGATTCAGGAAAGGATGAAGTTGCGAGCGCGGGCGAGAGTCGCTAAGTCACTGCCCAAGAAGAAGAATTCGTATTAATATGTATTTTGAATACAATTTTTTTGCAGTCTATGTTACTCGGCTCCGTTGAGTTGTTATCACATTTTTTGAACCTACCAAAGAAACGAAATGAAAAAAAATCTAGACCTTTAGTGGATAATTTTATATTGATATATGGAAACTTCTTAGAACTAAGATCTGATCAAGGAACCGAATATAACAATGAGGTCCTTAATCAGATAGGAAAACTACTAGAATTTAAACAAACATTTTCAAATGCTCATCATCCTCAGTCAATTGGTGCAAATGATGTTGGACAGCGGCATAATCAGAGTCCTCTTCACATTGGACCTCACCCAAAAAAACTCGACAACTCTGGGAAGCGATAGTATCGTATTGTTGTTGACTATCGAAAAGTGAAAACTCCAGTGGATCCTAGATAGACTAGGAAAAGGTCAATATTTTACGGTGCTCGACTTAACTAGGGGTATTCGCATGTTTCAGAACCCCAAGCCAATAAAGAATGAGAAATTCAAGACAACTTTGCAAAAAATATAAAATGAAATTCCTTAACATCAGGTGTGATGCCTTCCCGAAAAGACTAAAAGCAACCATAAAAGCTAACAGTGACCGATTTGAACTGTTAGGAAAAGATCATTCCGATTCAAAGTTATGCCTTTTTATGTTTGCTTCACTTATTTGGGCCAACCCTGTAGACTACTCTGAGCGACACTTTAACCTCGTATGGCAAATGTAACCAATAAATACAACATAAGACGACTCTACTTCTTGTATTCCCGAACAAATTCGCATTTATCAACCTGCCCTAACACAAATTCAAAAAAAAAAAAAAAGTTCCAAAACTCACCTTACTCTAGGTTTACTGACCGCTCAGCAACAGCTGACTGAACTGATTATTCAAGTCATTATACAATTCACCCTCTTCGTCCTTATCGTCACTAGACTCGCCGTCTCCTTCCAGCAAGCAATCATTGTCCGCCACCTGCTGCTTCGTTGGCTCCCGCTTCCTCTGCTGTTGCTTCGCCTTCCGAGCTCCCTTCGTTGCCCTAGCGGTTCCATTGCGCGCTTCCAGCTGCGGCACCAGTCGTACCACCCATTCGTACAGCAGTCGATGGATGGCGAACATTGTCGCCGAGTACCGGAACACGGTCCCCCGGATGTACTCCATCGTATCCTGGCGGGAGCGGACCGCATGGTAGATATTTTGCAAGAATACCCCATTGTAGCATTCGTGCATTCGGGTGGGTTCGAACGGGTGCCTCAGGAGGCCATTCAATGTGAACAAATTCAACACGACGGCTTGCAGTTGCGCAAAGACGTGCGCCGTGGGGCGATCCAGTTCGCCGTGTTTTCGAAGGTGACGATCGTTGATGGAGAAATGCGGCAGCAGAAGGTCGTAGGTCAAAATCGCCTCCGGTTTGCCAATGGCAGTGGACAACTTTTTAATTGTCGTTTTCGAAAGGGATTCCTGGACGGAGATTTCGGTTTTTCGGAAAGATTTCCGCTGGTTTTCCAGGTACGATTTCTGGTTCCGTTGAAACACGTTGGCATCTCGTGATTTGTTCGGTAGCCGTTTGTCAATCATTTGCAGCTGAATCAGACAAACGATTAAAGCATGCACGTGGGCACATGTTACGGTGTCAATTTTTGTGATCCAAAAAATCACACTGAGGAAGTACAACTGAATATTGACTGGTAGCAGGGGAATCGCTTCGAAGATTTCCTTTTGATTAGCGAAATCTTCGAACACCACCTTCAGAAGGGGCATATTTCTGTCCTTGTTCGGATTGAAGCTTATCTCCCGTGGCAGTTCAACATTTTCAAACTTCAACCACCGGAGCTGCGCCACCCGTTCGCATCTCGTCAGATACCGGAAATTGGTCGCCCTCTTGCCACTTTTCAGGAGAGCGAAAATGTGCTTCAATAGTTCATAGCAAATTTCGTTGCTATCCGGTTGGTTTAGGTCTTCCACCTGGGGATAATTGATGTACTGACTTGAATGGTATAAATCTACCACAAATCGTGGCGTCAAAGCTGCTTGGTAAATATCCAACAGCCACGGTTCCCAGTTGAAAGCATTGTCTGCCGTTAATTCACTGTCCTCTTCTTCATCGGAAGATTCTTCTCCAGATTGGTTCTGCAAATCGAAAGAAAAATCAGAGCATTAGTCAATGCAAATTATAGCTTTAGCGCAAACGAAACATAAACGAAAGTTCAACACACTCTGACGAGACGACTCCTAAGTTTAAACTTACATTCTTCTCAGAACCGCCATCGTCTGATGCCACCACTTCACCGTCCGACTCAACCAGCTCGTCTGCAGCTGCTTCTACTACTAGTTTCACTTCATCTTCCGCTGTGCTTTGTTCAAGATATTCTCGAAATTTACCCGCACCTGCTTCCTCATGTTCTTCCTCCACGAAACCAAAATACCCGTACGAAGTGCATTCCTCACAATTATACCCATACATGGCTCCCTCCAGCTGCCTCAGCAGACCATCTCGATTCTTTTCCCGCACTTGATTAACGATAGTCGTAGTGGCAGATTTCAGTGAATGGTGCTTGAGCCATTTCAAAATAGCAACCACCCTACGCTGATGGCCCACCACCTTTCTACTAATCTTGCCTACCTTCATCGAGGCGTAGAATCTCGATAAAATACCGCGGCTGATGTAATCGTTGCCCAACAGGGCAGCAAACAACGGGAGCATTTCCGGCTTCAACCGCTCGTCCGAACCAATCAGGTTCTCTATCGTGTACATCGAACAATCCAAATAGCAGAACGACTCTTTAACGTTGTCCTCCTCCAACGGTCCATCACCTTGCTTGGCCAGGACCCGATTGGGACGTTTCTTTCCGCCCACCAGCTCTATCTCGTACTTTCCCTCATCTGCAACCACCTTCCGGTAGATCTTATGGTTCACCGTCACGTACGGAATATACTTCACGTTGTGAATATAGAAGTCGCTATCATAACTCAGCACTGGACAGTCCAACTTCCTAGCCAAAATCGCAACCTCATTGTCCGCCTCGAACAAGCACCGCATAAAAGGAACCTTCACCGCCCTCAAAGCATCAACAAACACTTCCCTGATGAACAGCGGAATGATCAACCGATTAGATCCGGGTCGCACGTTTTTCACAAAATGGATCCTCCCCAATAGCCGACTTCGAACCGTTTTCAGCTTGCTCCGTTCGTAGCCTCCGTCCAGCAGAACCCACGCTCTAACTGCACACTTTTTCAGTAGCTCGAAAAAGTCCACTACGGCCCGGAAGTAGTGGTCATAGTTTCCCCCGAATGCGCCCATACGCTCCTCCGAGCGCACAAACAGCTGGATGCACAGATTGTCTCCATCGATGACCAGATCTGTGTCGTGCAGCTCGTACGGTTCCAGGAAGCGTTCCGCATTCGCTGCAATATAGGTCGTCAACCCACGGACACCCATTACACCTGCGTGGTTTGAAGGAGAGAATATTGGATTACATGCTTCCACATGGCATTTGGCGACACAAAAATCAAGTACAACTCACCTTTTTCGTGCGGAGGTTATAATATATTAATCAATATATTAATAAATTGTGGATTTGAAAAATGCAGGTGTCCTGTGTAAATTGTAGTAGCATGATAATATTATGTTACAAGTGAATTCTTCTTCTTCTTCTGTTCACCCCACCCGGCAAGTCTAAAGCCCTACAGTAAAAGTATGGACGTCTGTCAAAAGTTGTTCCAATCGAACCGTCAAAATACCCCGCATAAACGCGAACCATAAATTGACCTTACCCAAAATGGTTAAAAATTGTTTATAATCCCTGCTAAACTTTAACTGAAATGGTTATGGAACTTTACATGAACGTTTAATGATAAAGTTTCAACCTTATGTATTATGGTTTTTTGGAACTGGACCTTACAAATAATGGGTTGTTAAGAACCATTACCATTCCAAATTCTTGTTTTCTCCATACATTTTCAGAAAGAAAACTATATAAGAACGTTTTTAGTTATGATTTGAGAACATTAATGGTTATGGTTATGGTAGTCAGTAAGGTCCATTAATGGTTTTGTATAATCGCTCAACTTTACGTGGAATATATCGTGAATTGGTAATCAGAAAATTACAGGCAACCAATTCGCGATATATTCCACATAAAGTTGATCGATGTTACAAAACCATTCGTGGACCTTACTGACTACCATAACCATTGCCATTAAAGTTCTCAAACCATAAGTTAAAAGGTTCTAATATAGTTCTCTTTCCGAAAATGTTTGGAGAAAACAAGAATTTGGAACGGTAATGGTTCTTAACAACCCATTATTTGTAAGGTCCAGTTCCAAAAAACCATAATACATAAGGTTGAAACTTTATCATTAAACGTTCATGTAAAGTTCCATAATCATTTCAGTTAAAGTTTAGCAGGGATTATAAACAATTTTTAACCATTTTGGGTAAGGTCAATTTATGGTTCGCGTTTATGCGGGGTACACCACTTTGCTCGATTGGAACAGCTTTTTTCAGTTTTGTGGTGACAGTCGTCCATACTTTTACTGTAGGGCTTTAGGCAAGTCCACTGTTAACGGACCACACACAGAAATTCAAAACAACCCAAAATTAAGTTCTTTTCACTCATCTCCCATGTTCCGTACGATAAGCCAAATTTGGGTAAACCGGCTCAAAGTAGTTTGCATTTAAGGACGGCAAAAAAATTACCCATCGCTAAGTTATTTTCAATTTTTTCTACCCAAAATTAAGTTCAATTAACTCAAATTTGGGTATATCGCATATTACTCAATTTTGGCTTCTCGTACGGAACTAGACGGTTGAGTCGAATCTTTCGTTCTATTTTTGACAACAATAGTGAGAGGAAATGAAACGGGCAGAGGTCAAATAACTCAAATTTGAGTTTAAAAAAGTTGGAAGGGTTGTATACTAGATACGACCGCAGGGTTGGCGTTGGATAACGTCTGTTATGTGTTGTACTTAATTGTGTATATTATATTTTAGGAATATTCCTTAATAACTCTTTTGCGATATCTTTCCCCAAAGCGCGTTCGGACAACTCAGGCGTTTTCATTAATTTCTTCTCTCGATTCCGGAAGTGCACGACGTATCTGGAACTACCACACCAAAATGTATGCAGAATATTGTCGGTACTGAATTAGTAGCGGTAACCAGCAGGACCTACGTTGATTTAAGCTTAACACCCGCAGATTGATGAACGCTCCATCACATCACTTCAACCTTTCACATTCTGGCAAGAAAGTCAATTCTAAAACAACTTTTAAATTTATAAGGTGGCCCTGAAAAGGGCCGGTTTTTTGTTCTGAGTCGATGATACTAAATTAACCCCCGAATCCGTACAGAGTACGTCCCTGCCGCTTCAGAGCGTAAACGACATCCATGGCGGTAACAGTCTTACTTCGGTGTAAGTAACGGCGTCACGAATAACGTTTTCCAGAAATACCTTCAGCACTCCTCTGGTTTCTTCGTAGATGAGACCGGATATTCTCTTCACTCCACCACGACGAGCCAAACGACGGATTGCAGGTTTAGTGATGCCCTGGATGTTGTCACGCAACACTTTTCGATTACGCTAGGCTCCTCCTTTGCCAAGGCCTTTTCCTCCCTTGCCGCGTCCAGTCATTTTCTAATATGGTAAAAGTATCGTCGATGGAGGTTGAAACGAAAGTGATCCAAAACTCCAAATTTTGGCTCTTTTATACCTACTCGAGGGTTAAATTCTTTTTGTTAGTTGTTGTGTTCTTGTTCTTTCATCGTTTCTGATTGGTTGAACACAGCAAACGCATGGAATGAGAATGGAATTGTTTTTTTCTTATTCCACAGTGTGCTCTCATTGAATATACATCACAACCAACGAAAATGGCTCGCACTAAGCAGACCGCTCGCAAGTCTACTGGAGCGAAGGCTCCTCGCAAGCAGTTGGCAACGAAGGCCGCTCGCAAGAGAGCTCCAGCCACCGGAGGTGTAAAGAAGCCCCATCGCTACCGGCCAGGCACCGTCGCCTTGCGTGAGATCCGTCGCTATCAGAAATCCACCGAACTGCTGATCCGAAAGTTGCCTTTCCAACGTCTGGTCCGTGAAATTGCCCAGGACTTCAAGACCGATCTGCGCTTCCAGAGCTCAGCTGTTATGGATCTGCAGGAAGCTAGCGAGGCCTATCTGGTCGGTCTGTTCGAGGATACCAATCTGTGTGCCATCCACGCCAAGCGTGTCACTATCATGCCGAAGGAAGTGTCGGAAAGGCATTAGAAAATTAATCGTTAAACTCTTTCTTGATAATGTTGTGGCCCTGAAAAGGGCCATTTTTCCAACGCGCTCGGCGTAGTTGCCCTTGTGGAGCAGACGGTGAATACGACCGACTGAGAACTGCAGCAGCTGGGTATTCCATGACGGCGGCCCAGTATACCGGAGCACTGGCACCAACGCACTCGGCATAGTTGCCCTTTCGCCCCCAGGCTCTGCTGCCGCTGCTCTGCTGCCGTTGCTCTGCTTCCGCTGCTCTGGTACTGCTGCTCTGCTGCTCTGCTACTGGGTCGACGATCGGATAGACAATGATGGAACGGGCGACCTTGTTGGACGCTTATATAGTAGAACAGAAAATATCAGAGGTGTCAGATACTCGCATCTGATGTCTCGGTTGGAGAAAAAAATCAATCGATTTTCACCATCTTTAGACAATGGTTTACTTTTAACCATTTTTCAATAGTTTACAGAATGAAATCAATAGTTTTAAAACATTCAGCAAATTGCTAGAAATATTTCCAATCGATTGATGCCATTATCTCGTAAATCTATCGAGAGACGGTTGAGTTATTATCGTTCAAAATCTTTTAATTTTTCGTAACGCATCCAAAATGACTGTTTTCAATTTTGTACCCCCGTATGTTGCCGAAAGACGTTATCCAACGTCAAAACCCAAGCGGTGGGTAGTTTTGTTTTTCTGTGGCACTACCAAGTTATGTCAAGTATCACGGTTAAAAAAAAGTCCCCAAAATTAAGTTCTTTTCACTCAGTTCGGCACTATAGTGCAGGAACCCAAAAGTAGGTAAAGCGAGTCAAGGTAATTTTCATTTACTTGTGTGCAGTTCGTATGGAATTTTCCACTGGCTTTTTAACCAAACGTAAGTTAGTTGTACCCAACAGTAGGTAAATATGATTATACTCAACGTTGGGTTCCCACACTTTACTACCCCTGTTGGGTGGTTTTGCTCCTCCGTTTTTGACAACATTAGAACTGGGGGGGGATGTGCTGTCAAATCAGCCTACTGATCATCTTGTATGAAACTGGTTCCAAACGTAAACAAACGCTGTAGGTTTCTTATGGCTTGTTTACGTTTGGAACCAGTTATGCGAGGTAGGCGACGATTGTTCGTATTTGACAGCCACCTCCCCCCCTTGCATTAGAAGGAGAAAATGAGACAAACTAGTCAAAAGTAGGTAAAAGTGAACTGGCCGTTGGGTCTTTTTTCTTACCGTACTATAGAGTCCATATCTATAGATAAGCGGAGGCACAAAAAGTTGTTTTGGCAGCCATGAAAAATAAGTGATCTGACTGGCATCCGTAAAAAAAGCTCATGCCATCATATAGGGGAAATGCGGGTAATGTAAAGCCCTACAGTAAAAGTATGGACGACTGTCACCACAAAACTGAAAAAAGCTGTTCCAATCGAGCAAAGCGGTGCATTTTGACGGTTCGATTGGAACAACTTTTGACAGACGTCCATACTTTTACTGTAGGGCTTTAGGGTAATGTCGGCCCACATGTCCCTAATTTGGGCCCATCGCTAAAAATCTGCTATTTATCAATTTTATCTAATCTCTAAATCTCTAAAAAATCTTCATGTCCGATTTACGTGAATTATCACGTATACTTGATCTGTATTCAGAAAATCTCAAATGTTTGACCTGCATTGCATGTCATGTTCACTAAAAATGTTGGTGAAATCGACCGCATATTCATGTTTCGTGTATTTGTGTTTGGGAGTTCGATATTTCCGCAAAACGGAATGTACGTGATTTTCAGGTACGCAAACAAAATCAATATGGCGTCACAGAGCGTGGTGGAAGAACACTTCAAAGATTCAAAATTTTCCAGCAGTTTGCTGCAAATATTGGACGGTAATTTGATTCTTTTACATTAATTGATTTATGATTATATGTCGCATTTTTCTAGTTTTATAATTTCAGACGGTGGCATCAGCATTTTGAGTCTGCAAACCTCGCTGCAAACAGTTCTAGATAGAGCTGGAATTAGGGCGTAACAGCTTTTGTAAACAATGACTTCTATCGATGATTTCTAGGAACTCAAGGCATGCCCACGCAGACGAATATAACCATCGGATAGGGGAAGTCTTTCCCTACCCGATGAGAATGTTAGTTTACGTGGGCGAGCCTTGAATTTCTAGAAATAATCGATAGAAGCCATTGTTTACAAAAGCTGTTAGGCCCTAATTCTAGCTCTATCTAGAGTTATTAAAATTTTGTCAGAAATAAAAAAAAACTCATACATGTTTCTACCTCATAATAAGGGGCTGTTCATAAACTACGTAGACAGTTTAGGGGGGTGACAATTATCCAAGGCCCATACAAATTTTAAAAATTTTGTATGGTCAATTGTCTACGAAGGGGGACGGGGAGGTCAAGAAACCCAAAAAAAATGTCTACGTAGCTTATGAACAGCCCCTAATCAATTAGTCAATAATTTACAATTTTATGAGTAGATATAAGCATTAATTTCAACACGTGGATTTTATATCTGCCCGATAAAATTGCATAATATTGACTGCTTTTATATATACGTTCCATTATTATCATTCAAAATTCACGTACAACTTACGTGAAAAGCATTTTAAACAAAACGGAATGTCACGTAAAAGCTACCAGTTGTCCAGTAGTTTTCACCCCGATTTCACGTAAGCAGTATGTGAAAATCAGGTCTTATTTACCTGACTAATCACGTATATAATCGGAGCTGGATTTTGATCGGCTACGTGAATTCCGGTAAAAGTTACGTGAAAAATAGGGTGGACGAAAACCACCTATGTTTTCACGTAAATCGGACGTGAAGATTTTTCAGAGTGATAGATGAACGCGTTATTGGGACGTTACTAATGGATATTTTTGGTTGCTATTGAAAATTTAGTTGATTGCTGAATTTATGTATGGGCCCAAATTAGGAACACTCAGGCCGACATTACCCGCATTTCCCCTACACGGTGTTTCGCGAAAACCCATTAATGGGTATAAAAATACCCATTTCCGCTTAAAGTGCCCCTCCTCATTTAATGGGTAAACTATGGTTAACTCATAAATGGGTAAATGGGTGGTCTGTCAATAAATGTGTCATCCGATGAGTAAACAGTGTTTATTAATTTTATGAATATGACATATTGTGCGGGTTTTCTCGAAACTGGTTGATCTTTAAGCATTAATGCAACTTTTTTCTTAGCGTGTACATATTCTAATTTTTGACACATCAACGTCATCATCATCGGATAGTGCACCACCACCATCATCAGTGGCAATTAAAATCCCGGCATACATTTGCGGTGTTTACTTTTGTTGCTCCAGAAAAATTTGTGAAATTATTATCGTGATTTAGCTTTATAAACCGTCAAAAAGCATGTCCAGTCAGTACCCCAGTGGTTACCAAAGCCCAAGCGGACACCGTGGCAACTTCAACAACCCGATGATGCAGCAACAGCTGAATCAAATGGGTGTCTCCAATCAAATGGGAATGATGGGTTTGTTGTTTACCTACCTGGAGTTTTCGGCAAATGCCTAATGTTGAATCTTATTTCTTTCCTCTCAGCAGGTTTCAATCAGAGCAATGTAATGCAGAACCCGCAGCAGATTCAGTCCGGTGGAGCTCAGGGTGTTTCGGACATGGGTATGGGTCAAAACATTCAACAACAACAACAGCAACAGCAGATGGCCGGCCAGCAGCAGCCTAATCCGAATCAAGGGACCGGTCAAGGGCAGCAACAACAGCCAGGTCAAGGGCAAGCCCAGCAGCAGCAGCAAAGCGCGCAGCAATCTCCCCAGCTGGGAATGGTATCCGGTGGACAAGCAACTGGTGGTCCGTCGACTTCCGCTGCTGGTAATGTGGGTGGTGCTCCTCCCGGGCAACCCAATGCTGGTCCCGTGGTGAATCCTCAAGCTTCGTCAAACGTGCAGCAGAAAGAGTTCAATCTGTTGACGCTGTGTCGGATTGGTCAGGAAACTGTGCAGGATATTGTCAGTCGTTTTCAAGAAGTTTTTGGATTACTCCGGGTGATACAACCGCCCAATGGAACGAATCAGGGTTTGTCTTCGAGCAACGATAAAAAGGCAAAGGTTCAGGAGCAATTTCGGACAATCCGGTTACTGTTTAAGCGGTTGCGACTGCTGTACGATAAGTGCAACGACAATTGTCAGCAAGGAATGGAGTATACCCACGTGGAGAGCTTGATACCATTGAAAGGCGAACAGGAACGGTCGGAACCGGTTCACACGGAGGAGTACAAGAAAGCAATGCAGGAAAACCGGGAGCTGATCGATATTGTGATGCTGAAGAACAAGCAGCTGCGGGAAATCATCGACAAGATTCGGTTGACGATCTGGGAAATCAACACGATGCTGAGCATGAGAAGATGCTGAATCTGCGGGTACGGATAAGGAAGGTAGGTGGATAATGTTTAATTTTAAAGTTCTTTTTAATGATCGCTCAAAATAATATAGACTTGGGCAAATATGTGTGCGTGGAATGCTTCGAAAGAACACCCATTTTTTACCGTTTCAAAACGTAACACATTCTCCGGGAGGCTTTTCTTTCTTGTCCACATCGCAGTTGAATGTATTCCCAAGCCCAACTGTGTTTCCGATTTGGTTTCCAATTGCACCTTATTGCTTTATTCGTTTCACCTTACTTGAAATAAATAGTTAACTTCCTCGTGTGTTTACGATTGCAGCATAAATAGTCGATATCACATCCTAAACACCAGTATTTACAGAAGTACTCATCCCTAGTCTGCCGCTTGTATCCCGAAGTAAAAGCTAGAGAAGAACCCATTCACCCCGACATCCGCATCCTTTCCGCTCCTCGCTCATTCCGGTTAAAATAAAATAACACTCTTCAAGTCTCATCCACTCGCTCTCTTCAATCCAACGAGACATCCGCCAAATCAGCGGATATCTTGTCCTTGTCCCGACTGCCATTCCCGCTGGGATTTTTCCGTCTTCGCAGATTCTTCCTTGGTTCTGGACCGTTCTCGACGTTGATTATTCCCAAAGGCATCGGTCTGAACGGAACTTCAGCAGCTACCGGTGGTTTGGCATCCACTTCGTTTTCGCTCGGCATGGGTTTGAACGGGACTGCTTGCAGTTGCTTTAAATTGGAATCCAGTTCCGCTGCCGGAATGGTTCCGATCGTTTCACCCGGTTTGTTCACATCGTACAACTGCTGCAGCTGATTGTAGGCCGATTCGTTGATCGTTGGCGAGACTGGCATGCCGGAGGCCGCTCCTCCTCCGACCGCATCCCGGTGTTTGTCCTTGTTGAAGTGCTGCTTCTTGCGGGTTTCCTTGGACCATATTTCCAGCCAGGACTTGCCGGGACTTCCGCCATTCAAGGCGACTTGCTTTTTCTAAAAATAAAAAAGGGTCTCAGTTAGTGGGGTTGTTGGAAGGTACAATAAAAGGCGTACAACCCTAATGTATTGCTGGTAATCGTCTGTATCTACATCACGTTTGCTGCTACTGGAAGATGAACCTGAAAGAAACCAGATTTGATATTAGGTTGTCAGTTGGAAAAAAAAATCAGGACACTTTATAGGAAGCCCCAAAAAGTTAAGAGAAGTTTAAACATTTGATGAGAATTATTGTGAGCAGCAATCAGGCTAGTTTCTCAAACTACAAAAGAATTTCATTACCTTCATGAAAATTTTGGGAACTTTCAAGTAGTTCTGAAGACCTCAGAATCACTTTCTTTTCGATCGTCGTACTCCGTGACGATATATTTAAGGAACATTTATTTAAATAGTTACGCCAGTTTGTCTGTGTCAGACCAGTCCATTCCATATTCAACGAAAATTTCTAATGAAAATTCACTTGAAGTTCTCCTCAGCGTTCGGTTTTTTTTATTCTCTCGAAATTCTCATGGAATTATTCTAGAAATTGACTTGGAACGCTTCTCTGAATTCTCTGAAAAATATCACCAACATATACTTAGAATACTTCTCGCAATTCCATTGAAATATTCCTGAAAAATTTCGTTGAAACTATCCTCCAAATACAATTTTCTTTGAATTTTCCTTGGAATTTCCTTGAAATTCTCCTCAGTGGGCAACTCTTTGGAAAAATTTTCAGAATTGTGGGAGGCAAATTTAAGCATCTGCTCGAAAGTCCGTCCGCTCTTCTGATCAGTTCGTGACATTGTTCTTTATTGTTTAACTATTTTCACTATTTGTACTATGCACCAAAAAATGGCTGGATACATTCTCAGTCGAATGACATACTGCATGACATATTTCTCATTAATGGTTTTGAGAAATATGCGTTTGAAAACTTCCCCATTTGCGTTACATGGCTCATTTTCGATTTCGTTATGTAACCCCCCGGATGGCTACATCAAAATGCCAGTACATGTTGAAAATCTCATCATGTGTGGGATCTTAAAAAAAGTTTAGCAAACTCAGAATCTTTGCATTATTTTTCTTACCCTAAGAAGATGTTTTAGAAAATCCAAAAGAAAACCTGTCATGGATTCCTCGAAAAGTAATAAAGAAAATCAGGCATCGAAAAAACTTCAAGATCTGAGACTACTACACTTCTATGAATGAAGTCTCTTGAGCTTTTTTTTATATTTTGCGGAAATTTCTGGAGTCTAATTATCTTATCAGGAAATTTCTTCAAAAAACAGAAAAAATGACTCAGGGTTCTGAAAGAACTTTAAAATTTGAAGACATGGTAAATATACTGAAGTCGAAGATAAAATTGCTGTATTTACTTAAAAATTCCGGCTGGTCCACTGGTCAGTGTAATCGTTAAATCCGGGAAAAATCTTAGAATCCGAAATCAACGGGAAATGCCCGTGAATTTCGTGAATTTTCATCCTCCCTCCTGAAAAAAAATTCTTGACTTGAAACCTTTAGAGTAGACTAGATTTCATAATACAGTCAGTTTGAAGAATGTTTAAGAAAATTTTGATGAACTTTTCAAAGGACTTTTGAGGAGATATTAGAATAAATTCTAGGGATAACACCAAAAGGCCTCCCTTAGCTCAGTCGGTAAAGGTGCAGCTTCAAAGCAAGAGCATGCTGCAAATGACTGGGTTCGATTCCCGATCCGGTCTAGGAATTTTCTGGGTCGGAAAATTTCTCGATTTCCCTGGGTATATTTATGATTGTACTTGCCACACAATTAGACTAATGCATAAATGGTACAGGCATCGAAAGCTCTCAATTGATAACTGTGGAAGTGCATCTCGAACACTAAGTTGAGAACACGCAATAAGCTAATATGCGATAAGCAATAAGCTTGAAATGTGATGAGAAAGAAGAAGAAGAAAAAGAAAAAAACCAAAGTATTTCATAGCAGTATTCCAAGGGAGTTTTAGAAATAAGCTTAAATGAGTTTTGAATAGTCCGAGTTAAATGTAGGAAGAGTTCAAATGTTATTGTGAGAAGAGCTCCAGGTGAATTTTAGGGAGAGTTTAGAGTTGAAGTTTTTGGTTGTTCTGAGGAAAAAATTTCGTGACGATTGTGAAAGGATTTCTGGTCCAATTCTAATGAGTAGTCCAGAAAAAAGTTCTGAGAAGAATTTCTAGAGAGTTGTTATGATAATTCCAAGGATATTCCGAGGGTATTGAATTCTGATGATCATTCCAAAATAACTCTACGGCGTAATCGATCTAATGTAATTCCTGAAGATCGTATATTAATAACAGCAGTAATGAAATTTAAATTCAAGGTAATTATTAAAATAATTTCGAATGAATTCTCAAGAGAAACTTGAGGGTAAAATTTCAAAGAAATACTGAGTTGATTTTTAATGGAATTTCAAGAATATTTCGAGAGCAGTATAGATAATTCTGAGCAGAATTTCAACTCTTATCTTAGGTGATTTGTATAGAAATTCCATCGAGAATTCAGGCGATAGGGTAGAAAACTACTTCGGCCTAATCGCCCATTTTCGGCCTATTGAGCAGAAAACTTCAAATAAATCCATGATTTCAGAGTTAACAAGTCAATTATGCGTTTGGTATGATACTTTAGTTAATAAGCTACGAAATGAAGTCAATGAGAACGCGTGATATGAATGTTTGCACCCATTATTCCCAAAAACAAAAGAAGTGCTCCGACCGAATCAATTTTTATCTTCATGCGATAGGCCGAAGTGAATTCATTGGCGTTTCAATGCGTTAGGCCGAGTTAAGAATCCGTAGGCCGAGTTTGGCGTCAAGAAGCAGTGTTAGACTTTTGACAATATCTCAACGATTGGGTTCTCTTTATCAAATCTTACGGTACGTACAGAAAGGTAAATAAATTTGGAAGCCATCAAATAATAACATTCCGTTTGGTGCTAAACTGCGCTAGATTAAGAAAAACAAAGTGCGGGTTGTGCTTAATAGGCCGGAAATGGGGTAGTTAACCCTATATATGTAAATAGAATTATGAAAGAAAGCTTTAGTAAACTCTTGAAAGAATCATTTATACAGTACTGGACAAAATAATTCATACGCTCAACCCAAAAAGTACATTACATCATATTTTTGCTATTTTGCACGCAATTTCAGCAGTATATTCAGAAAAGTTCAAGTATTTCTCATGACGCATTCAATTAGCTAAATGAAAATTGTTATAATATTCTGCTATTTTTGTTACAAATTTAAATAAATATATGCTCACTTTTGTGCTTGGACAAAATAAATCATACACTCATAAGATTTTGTTTTTTAGCCATCGAATACAAAACAACAAAATCTGAACATTTGGCATCACGGCGTAATATTTGACAGTTCTTGTTCCAGGAAGCGTGCGCATCGCACCATTGTGTTTTGTTTGCGTCATTTGAAAAGTGAAAAATGTCGGGAAAGCAGATTTCGCTCGATGTTAGAAATTTGGTGATTTGCGATTGTGAAAAAGGAATTTCTTTTCGGAAAATTGCCGAAAAGTACTCGATCTCAGTTGGAGCTGTTCAGCACATATGGAAAAAGTACGAAACACGAGGAATTGTGAGGAATTTATACGGACAAGGACGCCATCGTGCGAAAAGGAATCGTGATGACATCAGAATTGTTCGAATGGCTAAGCAGAATCCGAAGTATTCGTCGAGGCATATTGTGGAATCGATGGATCTCAATGTAGGTCGACGTACTGTTCGCCGGCGACTTAATGAGAGCGGTTTGAAAAGCTGTTTGGCATCGAAGCGTCCTTTTATCAACAAGCGGAACCAACGGAAGCGACCAGAATTTGCTAAAAAGTACGCCGAAATGACTGTGGACTTCTGGAAACGAGTTCTGTGGACGAATGAGAGCAAATTTGAGTTATTTGGACAGAAAAGGCGATCAAGGGTTTGGCGAGGTTCCGGTGACGCTCTTAAGGAACCATACATTCAAAAGACGGTTGAACACGGAGGCGGAAATATCATGGTATGGGGAGCATTTGCGTGGTCTGGTGTTGGAAGCTTGGCTCATATAAAGCGAATAATGACTGCAGGCAGATGTGTACATTGACTTGTTAAGTGAAAATCTGAAAGTTTCGCTACTGAAAACTGGCCTGGAATTCAATTACATTTTCCAACAAGATAATGACCCAAAGCACACATCGAAAAAAAACCAACGGCATTTTTCAAATCAAATCGGATCAAAACGCTGGAATGGCCTCCCCAATCTCCCGTTCTCAACCCAATTGAGAATTTGTGGTCTTACTTGGACAACAAAGTGGATAAGGCATCGGTTTCCAACAAAAACGTTTATTTTGAAGCACTTGAAGCAGCGTGGGAAAATATCGATTCAGGATGTCTACAAAACCTCATCGAAAGTATGCCAAGAAGCAGGAAGCAGTGTTGAAAGCAAAGGGTGGTCATACCAAATACTGAGAGTGTTAAAATGTAAGTTGAAAGTTGAATTAAACAAGAATTTTCAATAAGAAACCAGGCGTATGATTTATTTTGTCCAACTCGAAATTCTCCTTTTACAACTTATGAATGATGATTTAGAAACACGCAGAGAAATGATTTTTAAATTCAAATGGATATATTTTTGGCTCAGAGCTCAATATATTATTAGTATTGATTCAAATATATGATTCGGTTGATTCAAAGAAAAATATTTTTGAATCAACAAACCGTTTGTAGAGTCAATAATCTGTTTGTTGATTTTGAAAACCATTTTGTTGATTCAAAAATATGTTTTGTTGAAATAGTGATACAATATGTTTGAATCAATAACAAAATACATTAAGCCCTGAAACAAAAATCCATTTTTCTGCGTGAAGTCATACAATATATTGAATATTCTATACCTGCACAGTTTTAGCGAAAAACATACAGAAGTATTGCAGAACAAACCATTATTGTATGTTTGAATCTACCTGATATATCGAGCTCCAAAGAAAAATTATATGGGTCTATGATTTATTTTGTCCAGTACTGTAAATAATAGTAAATCTTAGGATGAATTCCAGGATGTTTGTAATGAATAATTCTGCATAGAATTGCTAAACTGTTATTAAGAAAATGCCAACAGAATTCTGAAGCGATTCTCACATTTATTTTAGAGGAATTCTGAAGAAATTCTGTGAAGAGAAATGATTTTAAAAAATTGATGAGAACATTAAGTAATATCCTGTGAAGGTAGTTCAAGGTAGTTAAAAATATACTGAACCGCCTTTCGGAAACTTCAGGAACCTTGTTCCGTTTATGTTGCTGAGCTAGCAGCAATCAACTTCGCATTGGGGATGATTTCCGACATGCCCATAGACCACATCTTCTCGGATAGTCTCAGTTCGATTGAAGCTATTCGGTCGATGAAACAAGGTAGGCACTCATCTTATTTCCTTTCAAAGGTAGGGGAGCAGATGAGTTTACTGGTCGAAAGATCATATATGTACCTTTGTATGGGTTTCCTCACATTGCTCAATCCCAGGCAATGAGAAGGCAGACTCTCTCTCGCAAAGGTGGGCGCACAACAAGGCGAGATTTATGATAGAAGAATTTCACATGATGAATTTTTCCCATTAGTACATCAGAGCTCTCTTTTAAGTTGGCAAAACGATTGGACAAGTAATTCTCTTGGGCGGTGGTTACATTCCATTATTCCAAATGTTTGGAAGTAAGTTGGGGGTTCATTCGCGTGATGTCAAGACTTATGTCCAACCACTACTCGCTAGACGAGCATCTCTACAGAATAAACCTCGTTGACAGCAATATATGTACACGCAAACCAAAAATCTATTACAATTAATGTTAGTTCCGTTTCCTATCATCCTCTGTTCATGAACATCGCAACGAATGTTAGAAATTGACCATGCAGGCGATGTAATGGTTTTTTGTCTTTTTTTTATTTCGTGTTCCATCTACGGTTTCGACTATATCAGTAAGCTTGTAGAACGATGTACATTGTAGAACATTGTAGAACGACGCACACACTTGTCTCGAATCTCTCCAGCAGAAAAAGCATACGAAGTCGAGCATTTCTATTTCGTGTTGCATCTACGCTTTCGACTATAGGTACCAGTAAGCTTGTAGAACGAAGCACATTGTAGAACATTGTAGAACGACGCACACACTTAACTCGAATCTCTCCAGCAGAAAAAGCATACGAAGTCGAGCATGTGAGAAAATGAGCGCTTCATGTTTGCTTTTAGGCTGCCCATATTCAGAAGCATGGAGAGAGCAGTGAAGAAAGCACAGGTCTGATAGTCGCAACGTCCGTGGTTCGAGTCCAGTCGGCAACCTTTTTTCTATTTTTTTCGACATAATTAATTTCACTCACTAATACAACTCCACATTTTTCGGTCTCCAATTTTCTTACATCGGACCGCAGCTAGGTATATCGCATCCTCGGTTCATGCGGTCTCCACTTACATCCTCTGATGATGAATCCCACATAATTGTAAGCGAATCTTACATCCACCGGTTGGGTGTAGGTGTAGAACCGGTTATGATGACATCGATCGCGCCTTTTGGTATTGCCCGGGTAATGACGCCTCCAGAGCACGACGGTTGGATACCCTTGTGGTCCGAGGTAGACAATCCTTCCGTGAAGTAAGAGATGTATTGGGAACCCGTGATCTTCTCTACATGCAGGCGATCTACGAATTCATTTGTTTGTCTGATGTTAGAGTTTGATGTGACCATCCCCTCCTTTCCAAACAATTTCCAGCCATTGTGTCCCAGTCTTATTATCCTTCTGTTTCTGTGCTACTTGCCCCTGCAAAGCCAGGATTTGGTCAACCGTCCGAGAGTTCTGAAGGAGGCTTCAGAAACCAGGTTCCTACCTAGTTCCTTCCAATCGAAATTGTTACCCATTAACCTCGAGCCCGCCACGAGTAATTGGTACCCAATTCTAACCTAGAACTACTGCTGTTTAAAATGTCAATTCAAGCATTACTGATTTTTGGCTCCGCAAACTGTCACACACGACTGAGCCCAAGTAAATAAACGAACTAGTTAAAAAAGGTAGTCGCTGTCGCTGATTTACAGCATGTTACAAAGGTATCCTTGTAACATGTTATAACTCTCCATAGTCTGAGGGAGGCATTTCGAAAACACGATGACCAACATCCACACATCGAACCCCGCTAAATCAGCAACTTCTGTCCCCAATCCACACCACACTAACTGCATAGTCCCGCCCCGTCCGTCCCAGATACCTTACCTATTGGTCTAGTTCTTTGCTGTGGGCCTATTTCGAGTTGCACCTGGAAGTCGGCGTGTTCGCCCAGTCGGAAGCCAAAACCGAGCCGAGAGTCCGTTCCTGGAAACGAAAGATACACGAAAAGAAAGATCAAAAACTGGTGATTATAGGCCTATGTATTGGAAAAAAATCAAACATAAACACAGAGACAGACTGCGTAAAATATTATGAATCGTTAGATCGCACGGCGGCTGTGAATGAATCTCCTCCAATCGTGTAGGGTAAACGCACCAATAGTGGAGGTACGTTAGTGCAATGTGTTCCTATAACTAGGGGCTTATGGAGCCTCCATAAGCCACTATAGGAACGCATCGCACTAACGTACCTCCACTATTGGTGCGTGTACCCTAGTTAAGCGGAAAGCCTCTGCCATTTCATTCATCGCAAAAAGCAACGCTCCTCGCATGATGGGGGTCACTTTCGATTTCGTTCGACTCATGACTGCCTATAAATGCTTAGTCAGCCGTCTTTGATATTATAACAGCTATTCATCGGTGACCGGTTTTAGCCAAAGCGAGGAAGCGATTGATGAGATAATTGATGGCTCGTTACTGTGGGCACGGAGTAAGTGACATCATACTTTTGCGTGACCGGCTGGTTGTCCACAGATAGCACTGGAGAAATGCGGAAATTATGCCCACCAGCTACCATGCACCAAGTGGTCAAACCCAACCCGTGGTTTGATCGGAGTATGATGGGATTGCGTGTAATTTCTAATGCACCACCAAACTCGGAACTATTCGCGCATGAACTCGCTGCTGTAGATGCATATTTTGCATTCGAACGGTTTAATTTGCTATGATTTATGGTAATGGAAAATTCGCTATCGTTCATTACTATACTTGCAATTAATATATGTATGTTATAAGTAAAATGGACACCACACAGCTGACATCTTCCTCAAACAATCAGGTAGATTCAAACGACAATTCCAGGAATATAAATTAAAAAAAAAAAATAATTTTCTGATTAACCTTTACAAGTCCTTCCTGCATTCTGAGACTTGGTAATGCCAAATTTGCCATAATTTCATCATGCAAATAAACTCATCTGTATAGCCGAAACCTTCACATTCTTATGGGCAACTCGAAATTAATCATATGCTGCCATTAGCTTCAAGTTGTCGTCACGCAATTCGTCAAACTGCAATGCCTCTAGTCTCTCGTCATGAGTGCTTAGTGGCGAACATGTGCGGCGGCACCTTGTCCTCGAAATCCCGTTCGCTTACTGGTGATGATCAAACCGAATGCAAACATTTAGATTTTTGCCCTCTCCAATTTGATGCGCTCAAATCAAAACCAATAATGTTTGTCTCCACATGACAAAACGTCGAAAACAAAAATGCACATCTAGGGTGGAGAACGGCTTCGGCCCCCGAGACCCTATTTGCTCATTATTTGCAGTATGATGTTCCACATCATAGAGCACCTTTTGGATAGATTTCTGATTAATTTTCTTTAGAAAAAACCACGTGCTTGAAATAGGGTTTCGGGGGGAGGGCTGAAATAGTTCTCTACCCTACCTAACCGCTTTACTGGTCGACATTTGAAGAGTCATTCCGCGGTCCGCTTTTCTTTTCGGGTTGCGCAGATGTAAATATTGGCCGCAATTAGATTATGAGCAAATGCGGCAGTGTGGAGCGATCGGCTGCGGCGGCAAACAATTATGAGCAATAAATTGTTTTACGTAATACCAACTGTGGCTGTGTACGGCGACTGCAACTGGGATTTACTTACAATGGTGCGTTCGATTTTTTCCTCACTTCGTCCTGAGTCACGAGTTTCTTACCTTTCTTTATTTGCGGGATGTTGGAGTAGACTAGAGAGAGAATGGAAGGCAGCTCCTCAGGTATGATGAATGCATTCGCATCTGAAAAAAATAATCAACAATTAGTAGGATAAAACAATTGGTGGCTTAAGGTGAATCGCTGTGACATACTTATTCACGGAACCACTTCGAAACTTTAAGTGCACAAATATGAGCTTCTACGACACGTGCAACATTCAAATTCAGAATACATGAAGTAACAATTTCAGTTGAAATTGGGCACCGATTTCCGAGATTTGTGTAATTGAAAATTCGAAGTGGAAGTGCATGTATAGCCTACGTGGTGGAGGAATCACCTTAAACTTAACTGGGAAACGTAAGATTCTATTACAGATATGTATAAAATATATGAAGAATTTGAAAATGTAATATCACATGAACAGATTCTGGAAGACTTTTTAAACAATTTAGTATAATTTATAATACCTAGCTAGTTTTCGAACCAAGTAAGTTTCTTTCAATGTACTGGGACTAGAAAATCACCTCATGAAGGTTTTACATGAAAATATTCATTCTTGGTACGCTACATTGCCCATAAAAGCATAGCAGTCACTGTTGCGTTTGCAACCGCTCGACGAGCCCCTTGAAGAAATGTGTGATATTGTTGTGTGTTTGTTTGTCGTTCTTCGGGGTTTTCTCGTACACGCCCGTGCTGTCAATGATCACAGTCACAATAGATCAGTGAAGGCAAGCGACGGCACGGGCGCATTGGAAGAGCAAATCGCTCTTTGGCTATTCCAATGCGAGAAAACACCGAAGTTGTAAGTACTGTAATGTATTGTATTTTGATGCGTATTTTAATTATATAAATATTACAGCTTTGTAGCATGTGGCAAATATAGCAATTGTGCGTTTTATTTGCTCTGCTGAAAGATCGGTGCCCATCGCCATTGTTTTCAACAGTCACATCTATGCTTGATTTCCTATTATAATGCGATTGTTATGTGTTTATGGGTAGTACAGTCCGTTAAATGAAGCTCCGTTAGATTTCTTGCATGAAACATGTATGTGTCTTGTATGGATGTAAGAAATCCACACTTACATTTGATTTGGTTTGCAAGATTTTACATATTTCAAAAATGCAGAAATCAAACATATGTATGACGAATTTCACGCCAACATGGGGTTGGCAGCATCCCCTTAGATTTTAATGAAACTTTGTGGATGTAAGGATAACTTCTAGTTAAGAAACTTCGCATACTTATTTTATTAAAAAACAATCAAGATCACCATTTGAAAAGGGCCGAACTTGTTTTCGAATAATATTTACAACAATTATAACTCAAAATGGATAAGCCCTATAAAAATAGTGTCAAACGATGATTTGTAGGAAATTGTATGAGCTTTTATAAGAAAATATAAAAAAGTAGAAGGGTCTGTGCCTAGGGGCACAAACGGAAGCTTGACGTAGGACCGCTAGTGGACGGAATAAATGTGAAGAGCATTAAGTTCTTTTAATTGATCAAATCAGGCATAACATTTGATAACGGCACAAAAGCATTTGTAAACAAACATTCTAAGGCCCTTTACACGCGAACTAAAGTACGCCCACGCAAACCAATACCACTTACGGAAAGGTGATAGTTGCCCCTATGCGATGATGTTGTTGGTTTGCGTGAGCGTACTTTGGTTCGCGTGTAAAGGGCCTAAGAAGGTTTGTTTACAAATGCTTTTGTGCCGTTATCAAATGTTATGCCTGAAATATCTATTATCTCAACTCTTTCCGGTTTTGAATTGTAGGCGATCCAAATTTGTAGTAATCTTTTTCAAAAAGAAAGTTGATTACGAGAATCAATCAAAATCACTTGCACCCCTGCTTCCAAGTTTGTGTGGTCGTTGGGGGCTTGTGGTTCTGAATATGGACAAACAAGCATAGATAAATTCTATTCCAACTCTTTACTGATGTAAGCTTGATGGCCCTGAAAAGGGCCGTTTTATTGAAGAGGACATCCATGGCCACTTACGCTTGGCGTGTTTAGTGTAGGTGACAGCATCACGGACCTCATTTTCCACGAACACCTTCAGCACACCTCGTAGATCAGACCGGAGATACGTCAGACACTGCGACGGCGAGCCAGACGACGGATGGTAGTTATCTCGAAGAATTTGCTATGACGATTGGCACCTCCTTTGCCACGACCTACTGCTGCTATTGCTCACCACGCCGTCCGAAGCGAAAATGAGCTGATACCAGTTAGTTAGTTAGTTTAAATGATCTTTATTTTAGTTTAACTTGGACGATTACCATATAAATTTTTTACTAAGTGATTTAATTGCTTTCTTCATCTTTAGGTATGGGCAAAATTTAAAATTTGTTTTACAGGATTAGTCCTAGACTTAGTACACGGTCGACCACCTTGGTGGGATTGGTTTGTTTTGTTTTTAGAATTTGAAGAGAAACTACTTAATACTACTATTTACAGCTTAAAACCTACTCTACTATATACACTTAACCTACTATGTACAAATTGCTTATTAAAGCATGTTCAGAAAGATTGCATTTTTGAATAAATTTAGTTGTCATATCATCAATTTTGGAATCTACTTTGGGAATTTCTGCCTCTTGATGGAGGTCTGCTATTCTTGTGTCGAATGGACGATCTAGGATCATCCTCAACACTCTATTCTGTGCAACCTGGATTTTGTTCCTGTGGGTCTGAGCGCACGATTCCCACACCGGGGCGGCATAGAAGATCGCGGGGGCTATGATCTGTTTGTAAACAGCCAGTTTGTTTTGCCTTGAGAGGCGGGATCTGCGGCAAATGAGCGGATACAAACACCTAACCAAGGCGGAGCACTTAACTAGGGTTTTCTCTATGTGCGAGCGGAACAGGAGCTTCTCATCGAACAACATCCCGAGATAAGTAACATCAGTGGACCACTCGACCCTTGTACCATCCATTATTACGGTACAGGAGGGAGACGGTTTAAGTTTTAATGATTGTCTGTGAAGGAACATGATCGCTTGGGTTTTCGAGGCGTTGATTTTGATTTTCCACGTGGTGGCATAATCAGTAAAGGTGTCAAGGCATCGTTGGAGCTTGTTCGTAATTTCACGAGGCATCCTACCCTTGACGGCTATCGCGGTGTCATCTGCAAACAGAAAGAACACGCAACCGTCTCCTAGAGGAGGGATGTCCGACGTGTAGATGCTGTAAAGCAGTGGTCCCAGCAGACTCCCTTGCGGAACACCTGCTGGGATCGGAAATTGTCCCGAAAGGGAACTATTCAACGACACCCTGAACGACCTTTGCTGGAGATAGTTACGGGTGATTTTCACAAGGTATGGTGGAAAGTTGGAGTTACAAAGCTTGTATATAAGTCCGTCGTGCCAGACATTGTCAAACGCCTTTTCGACGTCTAACAAGGCCATGGCTGTGGACTTGGATACAGCTTTGTTACTTCGGATGTTATTCATCACCCGCACTAGCTGATGATTGGTGGAATGCCCCTTACGGAACCCGAACTGTTCCGGAAGAAGAATGTCATGTTCCTCCACAAACTTGTTTAGTCGGCTGAGGATCAATTTTTCGAACAGCTTGCTCAGCGCTGAGAGCAGGCTAATCGGTCTGTAGCTTGACGGTAGTGAAGGGTCTTTCCCAGGTTTGCGGATCGGGATGATTTTTGCCACCTTCCAGATGCTTGGAAAGTAGTGCAGCTCCAAGCATCTGTTGAAGGTGGCAGCTAGCAGCGAGTGCACCCTCGGGCTGAGATTTTTCAACGCTAGGTTGAATATTCCGTCAAACCCGGGAGCCTTCATGTTCTTACTGTATTTCAGCGCTGAGCAAATTTGTTCCTCTGTAATCCGTTCTTCTGGAGGGACGGCACAAGGGGAGGCATCTAACGTCAGGACGCACTGCGCAACCTGGTTCTCGAGTGGACTTGGGATTTTAGAGCCAAGCAAATGCGACTGGGCAATGTGCTCCCCAATCGCATTGGCCTTCTCTTCGTTGGTGATAAGCCGTTCGTCATTGACTCTAAGTGGTGGAATGGGCTTGGGGTGAGACTTCAGCACCTTGGCAACCTTCCAGAATGGTCTGGAACGGTCGTCCAGGTTCTGAACGAGCCGCCCGAAACTTTCGTTCCGGATTGAGACCATTCTGGAAGCGATCTGCCGATTCAGATCGACCATTTCGTATTTACGCTGCAGATCCCCAGTCCGCTGAAACTGGCGTCTACGAACATTTCTGAGCCGAATCAAGAGTTTGGTGTGGGAATCAATTGCTTGAAACTTACCCCTCACAGGAACTCGTCGAACGCACTCTTCGTCAGCCACGGATATGGCTTGATGGAGACCCTCCAGGGCCCGGTCGATGTCCTCCACTGTGTCGAGCGGTGGGTTGTCGTCGATGTGGCGGTCGACCACGCGTCGAAACTGGACCCAGTTGACTCGATGGTAGTCCTTCCGCTGGCACGGTGCAGGGGCCACGTTGTAGCCCAGCTCGGTCAGCACCGGTTGGTGGTCCGAACTCAGGTCGTTGACGGCAACCGGCTTGGCTAATCTGGTGTTTGCCAAGAACAGGTCCAGCGTCGATGGGTTGCCCGTCGGTGATGTGAAGGTTGGTTCGTCCGGAAACCAGACGGAATAGAGACCATGCTGGGAATGGTCGAATAGCAGGCGGCCGTTCTGGTTCTGCTGGTAGTTCCGCCAGGCCTCGTGCCGGGCGTTCAGGTCCCCTCCGATTACGAAGCGGGCATTGGTGCGGGTTATGATGGCAAGGTCGTTCTTGAACTGCTGTGCTGTACCATTGCTAACGGTACATTGCCGGGGACAGTAGGCGGCGATGAACCGGATGTTTCCGGTCGATGTTTCCACCTCTACGCCGACGGCCTCGATGATGGAAGTGCGGTAGTGGGGTAGGGTGCAGTACTTGATGCCTTTCTTGATGATGACCGCGACACCGCCCCCCTGGAGGTGGTGCGATCAAGCCGGACAATGCTGTGGTCGGGCAGCCAGAAGCTGTCACCGGTCTTGAGGTGGGTCTCGGTGAGGAGGCCCACGTCGATGTCGTGCTTGCGGAGGAAGTCTGCAAGCTCAATGT